GACCCAAGAGGATAGCGAGGAAGACATAGTGGTGGTGTTCGAGAGAAACTCGTTGAAGAAACGTTCTTCAAAGGTAAAGTTTCCTCTGTATTTTCCCTCTTTCAATTTCGATTTTGTATCCCAAAAATCAGCAACGAAAATCCGCTTCCGCTCCGAGATTCACATCCCTTCATAGTCCTGCACCAACTCTGGTCCCAACAGGACTCTCTCACCGAACTCGTCCCAATGTACCGGCGACCTGAACTTTCTCCCATACAAAGCTTCATATAGAGCCATTGCAATTGTTTCCTGGTAGCTGTTGTTGTAAGCAAACTCTATCAAGAACAGGTGTTTGTCCCAAGAACCACCGAAGTCCAATATGCAGGCTCTCAACATGTCTTCCAAAATCTGATTCAGACGCTAAGTCCGACCATTGGTCTGGGGGTGGAACGACGTACTAAAATCGAGCTGAGTCCCAAGTGCTTTATGCAAACTTCGCCAAAAATTTAACGTGAAACGGAGTCCCGATCTGATATTATGGACACTGGAATGCCATGAAGTCTAACTATCTCCTGCAAATAAAGCTCCGCCCACCTTTCTACTGAATAAGTGGCCTTGCCTGGTATGAAATGAGCAGACTTTTTTAAGCAATCCATAATCACCCAAATCACTGTGTATCCTTTAACCGTCCTTGGCAACCCTGTAATGAAGTCCATGGCCACATCGTCCCATTTCCAAATAGGTATTCTTAAAGGTTGCAACAACCCAGTGGGTCTCTGTCTAGAGGCCTTCACCTGTTGACACGTCAAACACTTACTAACAAACTAGGCAATTTCTCGCTTCATGTTGTGCCACCAATAGTGTTTCTTGAGATCCCTATACATCTTGGTGCTTCCAAGATGCACTGAGAACGGGGTATTATGAGCCTCGGTTAGTAAATCCTTCCTTAAAGAAAAGTCTCTTGGTACGCACGGTCTTCCCTGATAGAGTGAGGTCGTATCTTCTGAAAGAGAGTAATCTCCTTGACCCACCATACCGAAACCTTTGATTAAGTTGGGATCTCCCCTTTGTGCAGCGATGATCCACTATCTTAAGGTGGGTTCAACCGAGAGTCGAGCTAACACTGCCGAAACATCTTCCACCGCTAACTCCACCTCAAAACGGTCCAACTCATCTAATATCGGTCTATGATGCACTGCCGGGGGTGCTACGCTCGTTGCTCTTCTACTAAGTGCATCGGTCACCACGTTCGCCTTACCCGGATGGTAATTGATCTCACAGTCATAGTCATTTACCAATTCTAGCCATCTCCTCTGCCTTAGGTTAAGTTCTTTCTGAGTGAAGAAGTATTTCAAACTTTGGTGGTCAGAGTGAAGATTTGGATTCTTTCTCCTTACAGGTAGTGCCTCCATATCTTCAAGGCAAACACCACTACAGCAAGCTCCAAATCATGGATGAGATAGTTAAGCTCGTGTACCTTTAACTATCGCGAGGCATAGGCAATGACTTTCTCATGCTGCATCAGAACGCAACCCAATCCTCTCCGTGAAGCGTCACTGTACACCACTAAACCTCTCATCCCATCAGGTACCGTTAGCACCGGGGTCGTGACCAATCGCTCCTTTAGTTCTTGGAAACTTTTCTCGCACCCGTCGCTCCAAGCAAAAGTGGCATTTTTACGGGTCAACTAAGCCAAAGGTGCCGCCAATCGGGAAAAATCTTGGACGAACATTCTATAATGGCCAGTTAGTCCGAGAAAATTGTGGATTTCGGTCACTGTGTGAGGCCTTGGCCAACCACTGACCGCTTCTACTTTGGCTGGGTCCATGGCAATACCCTCCCTAGTGACTATGTGGCCAAGGAAGGCAACCTTATCCAACCAAAACTCGTATTTCGAGAACTTCGCATATAAATTGTTTCCCCTCAAGGCGGTAAGGACCTATCGCAGATGCCTTTCGTGCTGCTCTACTGTCTTGAAGTAGATCAAAATGTCGTCGATAAACACAATCACAAACAGGCCCAAAAATTCCTTAAAAACCCGATTCATGAGGTCCATGAATGTTGCAGGGGCATTAGTGAGTCCAAAAGACATTACAGTAAACTCAAAATGGTCAACGCCAACTTGCTTTCATCTTCACGGCCTACCGACGATGATTTTTTGGATGACGATTATTAAGGGAGTATCTCTCTCTTTGTTTTGGAAATTAGACATTTGTGAATCTTGATCTTGTATGTTGTTTTGCTTTTAGTTTGCTTGTTAGGTTATTTAGGTTAGTTTTGATTCTAGGATATTTTTTTTTGGGATGTTGTGCTGTTAGTTAAGAATGTTGGTTGTGTTTCGGCATTAAGTTCAAACTTTGCATGCTTCCTTGATCTAGTTACAAGTTTGTCCTTAGCTTTTTCAATGACATACTTTCTAAACTCTCAGCATGCTCATCTTTTTAATGAAAAACTTTCATTTGTTCTTTGTTTTTTATCATGTCAATGAGGATACTTAAGGGCATGAATATGTTAGATTTCCTAGTTTTATGATCAAGCCAAAAGTCATTTTCCACTTTTTGTTTTGATTATAAAACTGAATTCTTCTTCTTTTTGTTTTGAAACTTAAACTGTATTCTTCTTCTTTTTGTTTCGAAACACAAACTTTTTTATTGCTTTCGAAGTTCTTGTCCTTTTTGTGCCAAAATTTTGTATCTCTCAAAATTTCTTTACCTAGAGAGGACACTGTTTCCCTTGTAGTTGGGAGGAAGTGGAGGGGGAGGGGGGGACAGTTTGTGTCTTGTGTCTTTTTGTTTCATAAAGAAAATGCAAGCAATAAAAAAGAGTCTTATGCAAAAAAGAGTCTTATGTCAAAAAGCGTCATATGCAAGAAAATTTTTCGAAAAAAAGAGTATGAAAAAAGAGTTCAAAAGAAGAAAAATCAAAGTAAAAAAATAGTCTTGAGAAAAAATAAGAGTGGGGGAAAGAAAAATAAAAGTGAGAGAAAGACGAGTGGTAACAAACATGAGCGGCAAGAAAATGCACTTACTTTTTCGCGAGTCCCACTATAGATATTCATTTATCTTTAAATGGGTGGCGTTAGCATCTTTGAGGGTAGTAGCCTACATATTAAGGTGACTTTGTGAAATCCATTGTCAACATCATTTTATGCCTGATTGCTACCTAAAGAGTTTCTATGAGTGGTTGTGGTTGGAAATCGATGTTAGTGAGTGGAAAACCTCAGGGGTTAGTAGTCGGTCCACGTATCTTCTTGATGTAAAACTTTTGAATCAAAACAGAAGTATGCATATTCCTTGGTTTTGCAAAAAGTTTTGTGTTTAAGAAAAGAATAGGATTTAGAATAATTTTGATTTTTGAAACAAAGTTGGTTTATGGTTTGTTGCCTTGAGATTAAAGTTAAGATGTTTTGCTTGCGGAGTCCTTCATCTTTCTAGCATGTTGATTGTTTTGGATTTATTGTTGTTTTTGTTGGAGGACAAGCAAAATGCTAAATTTTTGGGTGTGTTAAGGTTGACTTTTTACTGAAAAAATGTGTGACCTGTTTGACCACAAATTTGAATCCTTTCCCATCATTATTAGCCACAGAACATTTATGGCTAATTTGCAATATATGGTATTTTAGGAAAAATACGAGAAAAATGCAGTCAAAGTTGGAAGAAAATAACAGAAATCTGTTTTGCAAGAAAAAAACGCTTGGCACTTTTTTTGGTCAACATTTCTTCAAAACATACATTTCACTTAATGAAGGGCAAGGGAGTCATTTCCAACATGTTTGCATTAACCAAAACCGTGAGTCCAAGTCAACGAAGGTTTGTTGGGAGAATCTCATCCCTTTTCCATCTAAAATAGAGGGTAGTTCAACCACCTTGGCCTGGAAGCCACTTCTCTAGCAGCAAATCATTCATTCTCAGCTCATTTTCATCTTCATTTCTCTCGTTCTTAGCTGCAAAGTTCATTCATAAGCTTTAGAGTTACATTTTAGTTGTTCATTTCTTGTATTTTCACTCTTTTACTTATCGTATTGCCTTTAATTCGAGTTTGTACTTCCGTTCTTCATTCACTACAACAATTAAGGTTTTTTCCGACATAAAAAAATGTCGAAAAAGGTGAAAACGTCGAGAAAAAGCTTTTCCTACATTCTTTTGTCGTCGGAAAATAGGTCGGGAAAAGGTCGTCGAGAAAGACCTTCCTGACGAAAATTTTGAAAAAGATCAGGAAATTCCCGACGTTTTTGTAAAACGTCGAAAAGGGTTACCTTTGCCGACACTTTGCACAAACGTCGGGAATTTCCCGACGTTTTTCTAGGCGTCGAAAAAAGGGTACCTTTTCCGACATTTTACAAAAACGTCGTTAATTTTGGATTTTTGCGACGTTAATATTGAAAACCTCAGTATATCTTTTTTCTTCCTTTTCCATATACAATTTTTCTTTTATATATTATTGGACCCAAAATATAAATACTAAATGTTCATTACGCAAAAAAGTAGATTTGATTTTCATTAAACATCAAATATTCCTACCCAAACCATGTTCCATAAAAAGACACCCAGTGAAACAAGTATAATACAAATTTTTTTCTATTACAAGATAGTCCAAAAATAGAAATAACATAAAATTAGTACTCCTGAGTCCTGAAAGCTTTCATATTCTAGCTTTCATATTCTTCTGTGTCATAATATATCCAAAATTAATCATCAAAATTAGTTCGCAAATATCTTTGCACCTACAAGCATTTAAAAGACATTACCCATAAGACACTACTTTTTTATAGTTCAACAAATTTACAATGGTAAACAAAAATAATCATCATAAATTGCACAATATCCAACCGACATTCCTAAACTAACGAAGAGGTGACATAAAGTATTATTAGTTTAAAATAAGAGGATAATATATTGCTTTATGAGGGTCTTATTCAATATTATATTACAAAACACCCTCAATCTTTGAGCATTCAATACACTACCATACTAAAAATGTTTCCTCTCTATTCAATGTTTTTAAGGCATGTTTCCCAAAACCAATCCCTAAAATTGATACATATACTTAAAGTCTACTCCTAATCATAGCATTGCATAAAACATATCATATATGGTAGTGTGTTTAAGTTATTAATTTTGCATCAAAGAGACAAAATATCTTCAAAGGTTTCCTCTTTATGTATCCAATTTTCACCCGAGTGAGAGAGATTCATATGGCTACCAATTTCAACATTTACTTCAAGACAGGTCTACTTCAAGAAATTTACATCTTTTTATGTCAAAATTTCAGCATCCACTAAACCGAACCACTATCAATATTCCTCCCTCTCTCCTTCCACCAAAATAAAACAAATTCAATCGTAACTCTAGGATATTCACACAATTATTGAACAAACACTTCAAAACATTCAAACAATACAAAACATAATTATCCAACAAGACCTTAAACTACATGCATGGCACAAATATAAACACAAAACCTTAATTAGTCGGCTACCTTTACTGCAGGATAGCCACACGATTATCCAACAATACATTAAAGTACATGCATGGCACAAATATAAAAATACGGAGTCTTAACTAGTTTGCTACCTTTGCTGCATGATAGCCACACAATTATCCAACAATACTTTAAACTACATGCATGACACAAATATAAATACGGAGTCTTAACTAGTTGGCTACCTTTGCTGCAGGATAGCCACACTATTATCCAACAATACTTTAAACTATATGCATGACACAAATATAAATACGGAGTCTTAACTAATTGGCTACCTTTGCTGCACGATAGAAACACAATTATCCAACTAGATTATAAACTATATGCATATTCAACTAAATACTAGAAGTAGGTTATTCATACCTATTCAGAAGATGATCCTGGGCCTCGTTGACTACTAACGTAATTTTCAAACATGCGTCGAAAATTTTCTAATTCTGCACTCTTAAGTTCCCTCTCCCGTATAATTTCTAATTCTGCATGTGTCTTGAGTTCGTTAACCTGCATAATATCCATTCGAGCATTATTACTTGCTAATTCAGCTATTGTCAGGGCTAATTCTTCTTCCAATGCTTGTGTTCATTGAGAAAAAGTTTGTGATGAGCCTCCTGTCTTGGGTAATGGCATGACACCCCACCCAGTGGCTGTGACGTATCCTAATCGACGTCCAAATACGGTTCTGCCCACTTGTGTTTTTGTGGGCCGGTCCTCTCCTTCAGCTACGGGTGCTTCTTTCAACCTGACAAACTTGTCCTGCATTTATAAATTATGAACAATACATATCAAGATAATTAGAAAACATGTACTCACTGAGCTAAATTGACAAAATAAAATTACATATGTTTCTTCGACAGCAGGGTTTATCCATCCTTTAGTCAGATGATATCTCGTCTCTTTAAATAATTGTATTGGGCCAATGTCAACGTCCTGTTTCGCTTTCTGCATTTAGTATTAAGTACAAAAGTCATTTGAAACGTTAAAAGCAACAATACTTAATTTTCATGTGTAAACAAAATAGAAAAATACGAGAAATTACCAATTCTTGTAGTAAGCGATCAAATGATTTTGACCCAGCTCGATGATTATAAGGGAGCTTTGACCTACTTTTCTGGTAAGTTTATGACTTTTTCTAATGAAAACATGCATTAGTTATGTGATGAAGCTAACATTTTAATTAAACGTGCAAGGATAAAAGTTGGGTATCTTCTACTAACTTAGTCCAGTCCTCTAAACTTTTAATACATGGAGGTGGTTCTAGACGAGCTATCTCAAGACTTGCTCGCTTCTTGTAGTAGGCATGTAGGTCCGCCCTAAATTCTTTAAACGTAGTTTTTAGCTCCTTGTACACATATATTTTAACGTAATGATCTGACATGTTCACTTTGAACCAGTTCTGGAGTAATACAGGTGTACGAAGTAAATTGATCTTTGCTCACTCTAACAAATTATAACATAAGAGAAATTATTATCTTACGACTACACAATCTCTAACTTTTATTCTGTCTTGTTCTAGTATCTGCTTCCACGTTGCATAGTTCACTACGTCAAAATTTTCCTAACGATCAAACCGATAGCAATTGCCATACGCGTTCCATTTTCACATACAGGCCTCCCATATTGAAGGTCAATAGTCATTTCAATTATTCCTTTACGTGCTACCTATGCATCTATCTCAACACCAACGTTTTAAAAAGCTCGAGGCGCACTAAAGCTCAATAGACCTTTGTAGCTTAAGCGCAAGGCGCAAACAAAAGCGCGGGCTTTTTTTTGCAAGGTGTACTATACATAAAAGATACATAAATGTATATGTATATGTACATGATAACAAACCTTCATAGAAATAAACAAGATATAACATAAGTTATGTAAAAATCAATAAATACTCAATTTTTAAGTGTGAAATATTAAGAAATCTATAATATTCAAATAAAAAATAACTTAAATAATTATGTAAGGTAAAATATCAGTAATATTCAAATTTAATAAAATAGAAAGAGAAGTTTATCTTTTTTAATAAATGGGAAAAACTACTTAGGGAAAGGGAAATACTGCTATATGGCAGTTTGCTACCGTGCAGGCTCTTGCGCAAAGTCGAATTTATCAAAATAGAGAAAAGTTTCTCTCTTTTAATAAATGGAAAAAAGTACTTAAGGAAAGAGAAATACTGCCATGTGGCAGTTTGCTACCATGCAGACTCTTCTTTTGTGTGTCTAGGAAAGGTAACCTGCTTTAATGCTTTTGACTTATCTTCTACCCTTCTGCCGAGGATAAATACAATAAATGAACTTCTTTATTTTTTTTCTTAATTATTGAAGAAGGCTCTTGAGGCGCAGAGCTTTGCGCCTCAGGGCTTCATCAAAAGGCGCGCGCCTTAAGCGCGCCTTCCTATTCTCGCCTCGCCTTTTTGAGGCGAGGCGCTGGTTGCGCCTAAGGCCTAGGCGCGCACCTCAATGGGCTTTTTAAAACACTGCTCAACACATTGGGTGTAAGACCATCCAATATACCCACCAGTGGTCCCTCAAAAAACAATTCAGTTTATTAAGATGTGCAACCAATATTAAACATAACATAAAGTGAAAATAAAACTAACTAAAAATAGATTCAGATCCTTCTCTCCACTCTTCCTCTCTCTATCCCTCATCGAAGACATCATCAGTCAAGCTCGGTAATTTCCGGCCATGCCTATAGAAAACATGTCAACTAAAAAGATTATTGAAACATTAAGATCAAGAAACACAAAAGCCAAGTACATTATTTGATAGATCGCGTACTTAATTATTATTAGAGTCATTCGAGGCAGAATTGTTAATTGGGCTTTTATTATTATCATCCTCGTCATTCGATTCATTAGATACTTCAACATCCTTTTCTTCGTCGTTTATAAAATCTTCATCTCTGGTTGATGGTATACCCATATTCGACTCTTCTTGGATGACTTGTCGATCAACAATAGAAGGATTAACGTCATATTGACAAAATGAACTATCTTCAATAGATTCATCGACCTCTTTTCCACCCTCTACTTCTAACACATCTAAGTTATCATTCTCAGAGTCTCCAACTTCTGGCACATCCCACAATCGTTTATTTTGAACTACTTGCACCACTTTCCAATTGTTACCTAATTTAGGGTCGTCGACGTAGAAAACCTATTGTGCTTGACTAGCCATAATGAAAGGGTCATCCACATACCAATAGCGAGACGTATTGATTGATCTAAACCCTAAATCCATCTTCGATCTATTATTTTTAGAATCAGTGTCAAAACCTTTTACACTTAAAAATGATCACACGTCTTCTTCTACCATAGTTTAGGTCTAAAACTTCAGTCGATACACCATACAAATTCTTATCATCTGCTCCATCGTCTCCAGGTACCATGACTCCACAATTTTTTGTAACCCGATGCTTGTCGCGATCTGTATTGTGAAAACGTACACGATTCACAATGCATCCACTATACAAGCGTGCTTGAGAAGCCGGTCCCATTGCTAAAGAGTGTAGATCGTCGGACATTTCCCCCTTTCTTTGTAATTCCAAAACTTGTCCATTTCATATACATGATTCATTATTAGCGTTAATTGAATCAAGAAATGTAGTCCCATGTTACAAACTCTTACAATTACACTTACATGAGATTGGAACCACTCGAGAAATTTTAATTGGTGCTTCCTAAATAAGTCGGACGAGCTTTCCACTTGTAGGCGAATTTGCCTTAAATGTTGCCTATTTTCAATCACAAAAGGTTAATTCTTTGAGAAAAAAGTACAGATTGATAGATAACTTTTTAAATTAGTGAACTTGTACCTGCAATAGGTCTTTATTTCTGCACAATTGTTCAGTACATAGCATTGTGCTATTCATTTCTCAACATCCGATAGTTTCCACAATGTCGAGCACCCTAGTGGTCATGCATGCTATCTAAAAATTTCAAACTCTCCAAAAATCTCACTCCCATGGGTTGTATCTTCATTACGCTCATCCCTATTAAATCTAGTTTCAATTCCCGTAAAATACATTTGATCAAAAAGTCAAAACTTCATTCATTATAAATGCTTCTGCTATGCAACCCTCTAGACGAGCTTTGTTTCTAACGTATTGTTTTAACATCCACAAGTTTCTATCAATAGGGGACCCACAACTTTTCCTTCATATGGCAAGTGAATAGCAAGTTGAACCATGACATCAAAAAACCTGGTGGGAATATTTTCTCCAACTTACAAAGTATGAGTACAATATCTGTGGCCAAACGATCTAAATTACTGACACATATTATCTTTGTGCATAAAACACGAAAGAATTTACAGTTCAACAATAGCTGTACTCACATCTTTCGGTACATATGCTCGAATTCTGATAGGAAGGATTCATTGGAGTAAAATATGACAGTTGGGGGTTTTCAAACCCCATATCTTTCCATCGTCAACGCTTACACATCGTGATATATTTGAAACAAAACCATCAGGAAATTTAACTGATTTCAAGAAATTACAAAATTCCTTCCGCTATGTTCTTGTAATTGTGTAGGCAACATGCGGTTTAACAAACTTATTTTGTCGCCTCTGTAGGTGTAACTCTTTTCGGATGTTCAAATCCTTTAGATCCAAATGGGCATTTGAAGTATCTTTTGATTTACCGTCAATGCTTAACAGAGCGCCAACTAAGCTGTCACATATATTCTTTTCGATATGTATCACATCTAACTTATGTCTTAGCAAGCGTTATTGACCAATATGGAAGTTCAAAAAATATACTCTTTTTTGTTCAATTAAGATATCGCTTTCGTTTCTATTTTTTATTGGACAGATGCTTACCAAAAACTGGGAAGTTCAAATATGTTACTTCATGGAGAATCTCGTCTCCATCCAATATAGCTGAAGGAGGTCGAAGTTCGATCCTCCCGTCATGATGTTTACTCCTACGCCAACTGTGATTCGCTGGAAGATAGCATCAATGTCCCATGAAATAAAATTTTCCCTGTATTCTGAACGATGATGTTTCTTCTTTACAAATAGGACATACTTGATAACCTTTGGTACTCCATCCAGACAAATCGCGATATACAGTAAAGTCATTAATGGTCCATAGCAAAGCTGTATGTAGTTGAAAATATTCCCTACTAGAACAATCATAAGTGTGCACACCTCTGGTCCACAACTCTTTCAACTCCTCAATCAATTGTTGCAAATATACGTCAATGTCTTTTCCAGGAGATTTAGGTCCAGGTATAAGCAAATACATGAAAAAAAAATCTTTCATGCACTTCCAAGGTGGCAAATTATACAGAAGAAGTATAACTGGCAACATACTTTACGAATTATTCATATTATTGGACAGATTGAATCCATCATAAGCTAATGCCAACCGAACATTTCGATAATCTGAAACAAATAGAGGGAATTGAGAATCCAAGTGTTTCCACCCTTCAGCATCAGCTGGATGTCGAAGCACACCCTCCGTTTCCACTCGCTTTTCCTGATGCCACCTCATTTCATATGCGATATGTTTTGATGAGAACAATCGCTTCAATATGGGTATCAATGGATAATGACGTAAGACCTTATGGGAACTATTTTGACTATTATTATCTTGTCTTTATACCGCAACTCACCACATAATGGACAAGTTTGAAAGTCGGCATATTCTTTCCAAAACAATATACAATCGTACTTGCAAGCATGGATGGACTCGTATCCTAATTCTAATCCTCGTAGTTTTCTCTTTATTTCATAGAATGAACTAGGTATGTTTGCACCGATTGGAAATGCTACCTTTAATAGTTCGAGTAACATATCAAATGATTTATTACTCCACTTATTAAGAACCTTCATATGCATCAGCTTGATCAAAAAATTTAGTGATGTAATTTGTGTACAGCCAGGTGCCTGCTTCCTCACAACTTGGAGAAAATTGGTGCAATTATACACCACAACAATCTGTTGTAGTATATAAACAAAGGACGTCTCCATAGGGATTACAGTTTTACTTAGAAATAGTAAATTAGAATACCAAAAAGCAAAATAAAAAATACATATATATATATATTAAAGTTGTATGGATGCTGTAAAGGAAATCAACAAAAACAGTAAATGAGCAAGAACATAAATATTCTGCAATTCTGCTCTGGAGCATTCGAAAACGGAAACAGATAGAAATATGAAATATGCAATATGATACGAAATGAGGGTAAATCAAGGGGGAATCCTATGCTCTAGTAAACTCAAAATGCTTAATGTCCAAACCGACATGGCTCTCTCTCAAGATACCCAAACATGTTTAACCCCAACTCCCATTGTAGACCAAACAAGCAATACAAACAGTTTATAGCCACAAAAGGGTGAGTCTCATCCCTGAGTACTCACCATTCTACTTCAAAGAGAGAAATCTTACACAAATTTAAGCAAACACACAACACAAGGACTTTCAAGCCTCAAGTGAGCATAGCAAACCAATAATGTTGGCCAAACAAAATCAGTACGATGAAAGAATAAAAACGCCTCTATTAAATCAACATAAATATAAGTTACTTACACAAATAGATGAGAGCT